TCCCCCCCCTCGGGGACCTTTGACCCCCCCCAGAGACGTGTCCGAGCCCTTGTGACCCCCCTGCCCTTTGTCCCTGTCCCAGCGCCCTTTGCCCCCCACAATTCCGGGGGGGTTTTAAGGCGGGGGCGATCCCTGCCCCGCTCTCTACCCCCCCCCCGGTGGGTCTGGGGGGGCTTTTTGGGGTGCCCTGACCCCCCATTCCCCCCCCACCGTGGGTCTGGGGGGGCTTTTTGGGGTGCCCTGACCCCCCCATTCCCCCCACCGTGGGGCTGTTCAGGGTTTTTGGGGTGCCCTGATCCCCCATTCCCCCCCCACCGTGGGGCTGTTCAGGGTTTTTGGGGTGCCCTGACCCCCCATTCCCCCCACCGTGGGGCTGTTCAGGGTTTTTGGGGTTGTTTGGTGATTTTGGGGTTTTCCTGACGCCCCCTTTTTGCCCCCCCCCCAGCTGCAAACCTTTGACCCCCCCTCACCGTGCGCGGCCCCCCCAGACCTGGCCAGCGGCGTGACCCTCGCCCACGTCCTGCACAAAATGTGAGTGATTTATTTGGGGTGGGGGCGCGTCCCCCCAGACCTCGGGGACCCCCTAAGAGGCCAAAGCTGATTTCGGGGACCCCCCCCCTCCCCAGCGATTCCTCGTGGTTCGATGAGACCTGGCTGGGCCAGATCCGGGATGACACCGAGGGCAACGCTCGGATCAAGGTTGGGGGGGGGGGACTCGATTTTTGGGGAATAATTTTTGGGATGGGGTTTTGGGGGGGGTTCAGAATGGGGAAGGGGGTCTGATTTGGGGGGTGGGGGGGGGCCGGATTTAGGGTCTGTTTAAGGAGGGCTCGTTTCTGTGGGGCTGTTTCCAGGGAGGGAATTCGGGGTCCTGGTTTTGGGGGGGCTTTTTGGGGGAGGCAGTTTGGGGAGGGAATTTGGGGAGGGAATTTGGGGAGAACTGATTTGGGGAGGGAATTTGGGGAGGGAATTTGGGGGTGGGAATTTGAGAGGACTGATTTGGGGGCATTTTTTGGGGAGGACTGATTTGGGAGTGGGAATTTGAGAGGACTGATTTGGGGGGTCTTTTGGGGAGAACTGATTTGGGGGCGGTTTTTGGGGAGGACTGATTTGGGGGTGGGAATTTGAGAGGACTGATTTGGGGGGTCTTTTGGGGAGGACTGATTTAGGGGCGGTTTTTGGGGAAGGAATTTGGGGGGTCTTTTGGGGAGGACTGATTTGGGGGTGGGGATTTGGGGAGGACTGATTTAGGGGCGGTTTTTGGGGAAGGAATTTGGGGGGTCTTTCGGGGAGGACTGATTTGGCGAAGCCACCTGAGCTTTGCGGTGACAAATTTGGGGAGGGGGGCGCTGCTTGGGCGGCCAATTTTGGGGGGTTCTTTGGGGAGAAGCCATTCTGGGGTACCTGAGGAGTGGAATTTGGGGGTTCTGAGGGGCGAGGGGGGGGTCCCACCTTGTTTCCCCCCTCCCTCCCCAGGTGAACAACCTGCGCAAGGTGCTGCAGAGCGTGCTGGAATATTGGCAGGATGTGAGTGACGTTGGGGGGGTCCCATCTTTTGGGGACCCCCTCGTTTTGGGGTCGGGGGGGCTTCCCTGGGGTTCGGGGGAGTCCCTAAGGGTTGGGGGGGGCTCTGACCCTCTCCCCTCGCAGGTGCTGGGCCAGGCCGTGGCAGAGCAGCACGTGCCGGACGTGGCTCCGGCCGCCCAGCACGGCGACCCCGAGCAACTGGGCAAACTGGTCAAACTGGTGCTGGGCTGTGCCGTGAGCTGTGAGAGGAGGGAAGGTGGGTACGGGGGCGGAGGGGGGGGGGGGGGGGGGGGGGGCGGGGGGGGGGGGGGGGGGGGGGGGGAAAAGGTATTTTTTTTTAAATTTAAAAAAAAAACAACAGCTGGCTCGCCCCCCGGGGGGGGGGGGCGGGTCCCCAAATTCTGTGTCCACCTGAGGGTGAGGGGATTCTCTGCTGTTTTGTGTGAGGGGTGGGAGCGCCTTTGAGGGGGTTCTGCACACCTGGATCCCGCTCTGCACACCTGGGCTCCTGCCACACACCTGGATTCCCCCCCGAAACTTAACGGGAAAAGATTTTTGGGTGGTTCTTATGAGGAGGGGGAATACCTGGGAGGGGATCCCGCACACCTAAGCCCCTCGTGCACACCTGGGCCCCTCAGGTGGCCACGCTGCTGGAGGAGAAGGGACACCTGGCCGCAGAGAACCGGGCTCTGCGGGAGCAGCTCGACTCGGACGCCGCCGGCGCCGCCGCCAAGAAGCTGCTGCGGCTGCAGACGCAGGTGGAGGAGCTGCAGGAGGAGAATTACAGGTGAGCCCTCAGCCCTTGGGGTCCCCCCCCGTCACCTGTGCACCTCACCTGAGGCCGGGGGGGGTTCTCCTGGCAGGCTGGAGAGCGGCAAGGAGGAGCTGCGGGCGCGCTGCTCGCGGCTGGAGCAGGAGGCGCGGGGGCTGCAGGAGCGGGCGCAGGAGCTGAGCGGGCTGGCGGGGGAGGCACGGGCGCTGCGGGACGAGATGGACCTGCTCAGGTGAGACACACCTGCTCAGGTGAGCCTGGGGTACCTGCTCAGGTGAGCTGGGAGGCCTCCCAGCACTCTGCATGTCCCGCAGTGTCACCCTCACCATTGCGATGGCCGCGTGTCGTGGCTCAGGTGTCTCACCCTGGGCTCAGGCGTTGCGGGACAGACTCAGGTGTGCCGGGACGTCACCGTGCCCGCTCTCACCTGTCCCCCCCCAGGGCATCCTCGGCTCGGGCCGGCCGGCTGGAGGCGGCGGTAGCCACGTACCGGGGCCGCGCGGCGGCGGCGGGCGAGCTGCGGCGCTGGGTGCGGGCGCTGGAGGAGCGCCACGCCGCCCAGGTGCGCCGTGCAGCTCACCTGCAGCAGCAGCTGGGCCGTGCCCAGGCCAGCTGTGCGCAGCTGGAGGCCGCCCGCAGGCAGGTGAGGGGGCGGGCAGGGGCGGGCAGAGGGGGCTGGGCTCGGGGGCCAGCGCGCTGGTGGCCCGGTGGTCCCCGCGCAGGTGGAGGAGCTGAGCGGGCAGCAGGCGGAGGCGGCGCTGAGGGCTGAGAAATGGCACCTGGAGTTCCGGCACCTGCAGGAGCGCTTCGAGGCTCTGAGCCAGGAGAAGGAGGTGGGTGGGGCTCGGGGGACGCACCTGGGGACACCTGTGACGCACCTGGGGACACCTTGGGGACGTCTCTGACCCCTCACAGCGGCTCCTGGAGGAGCGGGACGCGCTGCGCGAGGCCAACGAGGAGCTGCGCTGTGTGCAGGTGCAGCAGAGCTACCTGAGCCAGACAGGTGAGGCTGGTTTCTGGGGTGTTCAGGGGTGACAATTTTGGGGTGTCACCCCCCGCCCATAATTCACCTTTTACCGCCACCCCCCCAGACACAGGCCCAGCCCCTCCCCGGAATTTGGCAGCTGAGATCCTTCCTGCAGAGCTCAGGTAGGTATCCAAAAACATGGCGGGGAGGGTCCCCAAGTTTTTTGGGGGTCCCCCACGACCACCCAGGTGTCCCCCCGCCCCTTCCCAGGGACACGGTGACCCGGCTGCGGAGGGAGAACCGACGGCTGCGGCTGCAGCGGGACCAGCTCCAGCACAGGTGGGGAAATGGGGGTGGGCGGGGGTCAGGGGGTCCTCAAAAGACCCCCCCCAAATCCCTGACGAGCCCCCCAAAATCACAGGCTGGAGGCCACGGAGGCAGCTGAGGCTCGGCCAGCGCAGGGGAGGCTCAAGGAGGAGGTGAGGGGGGGGGGGGGGACCGGGGAGATTTTTTGGGGGGGGGGGTCCCAGTTCATTGTGTGGGTCTCATTGTGTTTTGGGGGGCACCACGTTTTTTTTTGGGGGGGGGGGTTTCCTTCTCTCTCTCTCTCTCTCTCTCTCACTTTGCCCCAGTTTTTGCTGCTGGACGAGACCCCGGAGGACCTGTGAGTTTTTTTGGGGGGAAATTTGGGGGGCCCTCCCGACATCCCCGACCTGTGACCAACCCCTGCTCCCCCAGGGATGAGCTGCCAGAGGGAGAGGAGGAGGAGGACGAGGAGGAAGAGCTGGAGCCTCCCAGGGCTGGTATGAGGGGGTATCAGGACTTGGGGTGAGAATTTGGGGGGTTTCTGGGGGGTACCCAGATGTTTGGAGGGAAGGAGCAGCAGATGAACTCTGCCTCAGTTTCCCCATGAAGATTTGGGGTGGTTTGGGGGGTCTTTCCTGGCTAATCTCCCTCTTTGTTCCCACTATGGGCTCAGGATTTAGAAGTTCCACGAGATCGCCCCCCCAAAAACCCTCAGTACCCCTCGGGGACCCCCCCAGAACTCCCCCCTTGGCCCCAGTCCTGCAGCTCCTCCGGAACCAACTGCAGGAGAAGGACGCGCTGATCCGGCACCTGGAGGTGAGGGGTTAAATGTGGGAATGGGCCGGGGGGGGTCCTGGGGGGGTCCCAAACTCCGGCTGAGGGGTCCTGGGGGGGTCCCAAACTCCGGCTGAACCCCCCTTTCCACCTTGGAAACCCCCCCAGAACGACTGGGAGCGCAGCCGGGCGCAGCGGGAGCGCGAGGAGCGGCTGCTGGTCACGGCCTGGTACAACATGGTGAGCGAGGGGACACGGGGACACCTGGGGAGGGACACGGGGACACCTGGGGAGGGACACTGATACACCTGGGGGGGACACGGGGCCACCTGGGGGGGACACTGATCCACCTCCATGGGGTACAGGTGTGTTGGGGGTGACACAAATGCCACAGGGAGCGGCTGACAGGTGTCACAGTTACCTGTGGGTGGCTGAGGGAATCCATGATGGCGTGTGTGTGTGTGGGGGTTCTCTGTCCATTCGAAGTTTCCCTCCTTTCTCCAGGCTCCGTGGGTCTGGGGAGAGGTGGGGGGGGGGATGCGCCTCCATTATCCCCTCGTGTCCCCTCAGGGCCTGGCTCTGCAGCAGCAGGAGGGGGGGACGCCATCCCGGGGCCTCCCCAGCGGGGCTCAATCCTTCCTGGCCCAGCAGCGCTTGGCCACGGTGGCCCGGCGGGCACGGACCCCTCACGGCCGGGCTCCCCCCAGCTGATGGAGGGGGATCCCCCAGGACGCCCCCAGGCCACGGGGGATCCCCTCACTCTGGGCTGGTCCCATTTCACACACTACAGGCCTGAGCTCCCCACCTCGTTTTGTGGAGGGGGGCGGGCCCGGATTTTGCTCCCCGATTTTTTTTTCAAGGGGGGAGCTTTTAGCACTTCTATTTTTGTAGCTTATTTCGGGGGGGCTCTTGTGTGTGGTACCCCCGTAAAATCTTCTAATAAAGCCTCAGGACTCAGCGCTGGAGATTTATTATGGAGGGGGGGAACACTGGGGGGCTTGTACAGAGCTGCCCTCACGTTTTCCCGCCCTTTTTCGCCCCCCTCACGTTTTCCCGCCCTTTTTGCCCCCCTCACGTTTTCCCGCCCTTTTCCCCCCCCTCACGTTTTCCCGCCATTTTCTCCTCACGTTTTCCCACCCTTTCCCCCTCTTATTCCCTGGTTTAAATTGAGGGAAACTCCATGTTTTTCTGTTAAAAAACCACCATTTTTGGGACATTTTGACACCGTTTTCCCCTTAAGGTCCCTTAAAACAGAGGGCCCCTGTTGATGAAACTCTTAAAGTGGCCCATAAAGAGGCTCCTTTCAATTTAAACCCTTAAAAATGACGGAAAACAGAGCTTCCTCCTCAATTTAACCGTTTAAACAATGCAAAACCTAGATTTGCCCTCAACTGAATCCCTAAAATAACAAAAAGTGTGTTTTCCTAGTCAATTAAACCTCTTCACATCATAGAAGTATAACGCTTTTCCTTCAATTCAAACGCTTAAAATGGTTCAAAAGTCTCTTTTCCTTGAATTTAATTTCTTAAACCCGCAGATAAAACGCCGCGTACGGATCCTCAGCTGTGTGTGTGAGTCCGGGGGTGTCCGCGTCGTTTTAAACCCGCCGCCATCTTTGCAAAGGGCAGAGCGGCGGCTTCCGGCGCGTTGTGCGCATGCTCAAGAGCTCGGGCGGGACGCCGGAAGTGCGCCACTCGCGGGCGCCATCTTTGAAAAGGGCAGAACTGCTGGTTGTGCGCATGCTCGGGAGGGCAGGCGGGGCACCGGAAGTGCGTCACGCGCGGGGCGGAAGCGGCCGGGACGGGCGGGTGCCGGAGGGTCGCGGCGGCCGCGCCATGGTGGATTACAGCGTGTGGGACCACATCGAGGTCTCGGACGACGAAGACGAGACTCACCCCAACATCGACACCGCCAGTCTCTTCCGATGGCGGCACCAGGTGCGCCTGGGCCGGCCCGCACTATCCTCCCCCCCCCCCTCACCGCCGCCACAGGCCCGGCACTCCGCGGGAGCCCCGTTCCCATGGCGACCGGGCCCGGGATTCCCGGAGGGAAGAGGAATGGAAGGGGAACGGGGATGGGATGTGCTCCTGTTCGCATGGGCGCCCGTCCCTGGCACCTCCGTGTGCTGTGGGGGCCTCTCCGCGGGCTGCCCACACGGACGGGGAATGAGGGGGGAGATTTTCTCCTTTTCCCATCCCAGCCATTTTTAGGGACCGCCATGGGGAGGAGGCTTCACTTTTCGCTCAGGATCAGCCCCTTATTCCCATAGGATTGACACAAAATCCCCTAAATCGTGAGGGGGCTCCCTGTATTCCCATAGGATCATCCCTGGAGCCCCCACGGGGGGAGCTCCCCCATTCCAGGAGCCCCTTTTCCTCTCCCGGCCTGAATTGCAGCTGAATTCCTGCTCCCTTCCCCCAGTCCCTGCTGCGTCCAGGGATTTCTTATTCCCTTATTCCATTATTCCCTTGTTCTTTTATTTTGTTATTCTTCTATTCCTTTATTTCCTTATTCTCTTATTTCTTTATTCCCTTATTGTGTTATTCCCTTATTGTGTTATTTCCTTATTGTGTTATTCCCTTATTCCTTTATTCCTTCGTTTTCTTATTCTTTTATTCCTTTATTCATTTATTCTCTTGTTTTCTTATTCTATTATTCCCTTATTTCTTTATTCTCTTATTGCCTTAATCCTCTATTCACTTATTTTCTTATTCCTTTATTCCCTTATTCCTTTATTCCCTTTTTCCCTTCCCTT